ATAACCCCTTTTTCTGCCTGCAATTTCCTTCCAGGTAACTTTCATTAATTTGATATATTTGGCATTTTGTCTGTATTATTTCTTGAGCAGGTATGGAGAATTACAGGGTCTTAACAAGCAGGAAACAGCCGACAGATTTGGAAAGGAGCAGGTCCATGAGTGGCGCCGTAGCTATGATATTCCACCTCCTAATGGGGAGAGCCTTGAAATGTGTGCTGAAAGGGCTGTTGCATATTTTAAAGAGCAGGTCTGTCGTCTGGTTTCAAGTGTTCATCTCACGCCCGTTTATGATGGGTTTTTGTTGTGGATTTAGACTCTGGGAAACTCTACTCTCTTCTGTTTTATTTTAGCTGAATCATCCTACATATGTAGATTCGTTTTATTTTATGTCTAATGCATTTGTTCATTAAAAAGCACTGGTTTCTGCTTTATCTTTTGCCAAGAACTAATCTGGCATCTGACCACTGATGGGCGTTTTGTAATAGATTGAGCCTCAACTCCTGAATGGGAAGAACGTCATGATTTCTGCTCATGGGAACTCACTCAGATCCATCATTATGTACCTCGACAGGCTAACTTCTCAAGAGGTGGGTGATACATTGTGCTGGCTCATCTAGGATGAGCATCGAGCTGTCATTTTTTACTCTTCACATTTGACTTGCATGTGATGCTGCATGCATCTCATGGAGCATGCTGCCGTTCTTTTCTTGGCAGGTTATCAGCCTCGAGCTGTCAACGGGGATCCCTATGCTTTACATATTCAAAGAAGGAAAATTCATAAGGAGGGGAAGCCCAGTAGGACCCTCTGAAGCTGGCGTCTATGCTTACACGAGGGTACGCAGCTCTTTTCTATGGTCTCTGCGTTTTTATGCATGCTTCTTTATTTTTGCTTATTTTTCCTTATAATGCTTCTTGGGCAAGCTTTCGATATGCATGCGAAAGTACCTAAGATATAAAAGTTAGTGCCCAGCACTCTATATATATATATATATATATATATACCTTCATCTTAGTACACTTGCACAGCCTGTATGGAAATTGGTCCAACCCTATAGTTTTTGCACTGAAGGTGGCGAGTGTGTCCTCAGATGATTCTAGGATTACATCTGGCCTCTATTCTAGAATGGAAACTGTTGCAACTCATGCAGTCCACCGTAAATTTTGCCGTAATTTTCATCTCATAAACTCTGAATATTCCTCCTCATCGATATCAATGTATTCATGATTTAGTTTACTGGATGAATCCCAATGCCGCTTTCTTAAGCGCCATAGAGCAATTAATTAATGAATTCTGCAATTAAAAAAAGAAAGAAAAAAGAATCTGATGGTATTGTTTCCTCTGGTTTCTAGAGTCTCGCCCTCTACAGACAGAAACTCGATGAAACGTTGCCCTGATCTCTTCTGTTACGAGGTATAACTGAGATGTCCTTGTGTTCATCGTCCACTCTTCTTTGCCCTCACCCTCTTCCATTGCTCATTCATGTGGTCTCATATGTTGATCATTCTTTCATCTTCTATGATCTGAATTGTGTATTTAGGTCTCCCATTCAATTCTGTTCCTTCTCCGGTCTTTCTTCTCCACCGTTTCTTCCAAGGATCCTTCTCTGTATCTGTCTCTGTCTCTGTCTCTGTCATGTCAGTGGGCCATTCCTCTGTGCTATGGGTGCTTGTTGCTCTTGTGTATCCTCTCCCCCACGTTGGAGTCCACTGGCCAGTTTATGGAGCCATTCCTCTGTAGATGTTGTGGACTCTGAAAGCTTCCAGTTTTCTTGATGCCCAGTTTGTTCTTGTGATGACATAGAAAGCTGGGCTTTACATGATCATACGATGATTAATGACTGGAATTGGGTGAATTGTATGACGTCAATATTATTCTCTATGATGATACACCCAGATGTTTTATGAAACTGGAGAGAGAGAGAGAGAGAGAGAGAGAGAGAGAGAGAGAGAGAGAGAGAGAGCCAGATGTTGCAGTCTTCAAAACCCACCAGCACTGGCCTTGTTGGGCTAAACTGGATGTTATTAGATAATCTCCATTAGAGTTCGTCACTTCGGACTTAGAACCCTCGGAGGGAGGGTCTGTGGCCTATCGGGCTCTACCAAGGGTGGAGCTTTATCGGATGTTCTTCGTCTCCGACGACCAAGGAATAGGACCCACCGTCCAGCACCTTGGAGCCGTCGAGCGCCGCCCTCGAGAGGTGCTCGCAGGGGTTCACAACAAACGTGAGGTTGGCGTCTTCTCCGGCGCTCAGCCGCACGGAGGTGAAGTCCACCAGCTGCTTCCCCCCGCCGCCGGCCGGCGGCTTGGAGCGGCGAACGAACAGCAGCACCGAGTGCCTTCCGGCGGTCTCCCCTGTGTTGCGGACTCCGACGACGGCGGAGAACTTGAGCCTCTCGCAGGACTCGGAGCTCATATCTGCAACATCAACGGCATCGCCGTCGCTCGACGCCCCTTCCTCCTCCGCGCCGCCGCCGACGGCGGTGGCCTCGTCGGAGGGGAGGAGGCGGTCGGCGACGGCCACGAACCTGTAGGAGTAAGACGAGTAGCTGAGGCCGTAGCCGAAGGGGAAGACCACCTCGCCTGTGTAGAATCGGTAGGTCCGGCCGGGGTAGCCCGTCGCCGGGTCCGGCCGCATTCTCATGTCCGTCATCGGCACCACCGTGAACTCCTGCGGGTACCAGCTGACTGGTAGCCTCCCCCCTGCGCACGAACAGTTCCTCAGCAAACTGTTGATTCAAACGACCCACGAACGAGTTTCTCGCCACATGCTTCGATTTCCTCGGAGGGATTGATTACCTGGGTTGTGATCTCCGAAGAGGACCTCGGCGATGGCGGTGCCGCCGGCCTGGCCGGGATAACCCGCCCAGATGATGGCTCCGACCGTCGGATCTGTCTTCACGAACGAAACGTCCACCGGGCCGCCGCAGAGCAGAACCAAGATCACCGGCCTTCTCGCGGCTTTCGCCACGCTGGTGATCAAGCTCCGCTGCATGCCCGGGAGCACGAGGTCCACTCTATCCAGATCCTCGCTTTCCTGCTCCTGGTCCAGCCCCATGAAGAGGACGACCTGATCCACCGCTCCGGCGAGCTTCACGGCTTCGTCAATGGCGGCCGACGGGCAGGCGGCGGACTCGCAGCCGGGGAGGTAATGGGTCTCGCTCACGTAGCTCTTCAGCGCCAGAAGCGGCGTGATGGAGGTGCAGGGAGGGCCGGCGTAGTCGCCGAGCATCCTCCAGGCGTTGTTGGAGTTGGGCCCCATGATGGCGATGGAGGCGACCTTGGATTTCGACAGTGGGAGTAGGTGGTCGGCGTTCTTCAGCAGGACGATGCCGTCTCTGGCCGCTTCGAGGGCCAGGTCCTGGTGCTCCTGTGTACAGACCTGGGAAGGCCCAAGGTTGCCGAAGGCGAGGGATTTAGGGTTTCCGTTGAACAGGCCGAGCCTCATCCTGACGGAGAAGAGGTTGCGGAGGGCTCTGTTTATGTCGCCTTCCACGATCTTTCCCAGCCGAAGGGCTTCTTCAGTGTAATTCTGCATGTAGGCCCCGCAGTTCACGTCCATTCCTGCGAGTTTTCCTCATCAGATCGCCATGGAAGGAGGGAAAGACCTCGGTGGGACGGAGGGAGGGAGGGAGGAAGGAAAATCTCACCGGCTCTGAGGGCGTCTGCAACTGCTTCCGGCGGGCTTCCGGCGTATCTGTGGTTCTCGTAGATGGCGGCAACCGCGTCGCAGTCCGAGGTGATGTACCTGAGAAACCACTAACGTAGCAGAGGTTAGAATGATTCATCAAAAAGGAAAAGTTTTTAAGAAGATGACGAGACAGATTGGAGATATTTCGTTTCCAATTTTGATCCGTCGGCCGCCTACCCATTGAAACCCCAGGATCCCCTCGCCGTTCTTGTCAGAAGGTCGTAGTCGGCGCAGGTGGGGACGCCGTTGACGAGGTTGTAGGAGCACATTATTCCACTGGCTTGGCCCTCCATGACGCAGCTTCTGAACGGAGGCTGGTAAGTGTCTGCGAGGTCCTGCGCCGAGACCTGCCGCCGCCAAAGAGAGAGAGAGAGAGAGCAAGTGAGTGAGAGAGTGAGAGAACCCAGATCAGAACAGGACAGTGGCGATCGAGGGGGTGGGGGAAGCAGAGCGAGAGAGAGAGAGAGAGAGATCATCCAGCGGCCTCTGGGCATGGCGGCACAGTCACCTTGGCGTCGAAGGAGAGGCGAGAGAAGCCCTTCCAGTGGTCCAAGTCGTAGGCGGTGAGGTGCTTGCAGCAGGCCGAGGCCTTGAGCTCCCCACGCAGACTCCCACCATGGAAGGAGTCCCCCTGCAACCCTCTCACGTAGGCGACGGCATACTTTCCTGCCGTCAATGGGTCCTCCCCTGGCGTTTCCTGCCCCCTCCCCCACCTCGGGTCCCTGAAAATGTTTATATTCGGCGACCACAGCGCCAACCCCTCCGCCTGGCCCGCATTGTAGAACGCCCTAACCTCCGTCCCCACCGCCTGGTTCACAACGATCCATAAATGGGGAGCAGATCAGACAAGAAAGAACTGGTTCTGGTTTCTCTTACGAAGATTAGGGTGAGACTTACCTGCCCAATGCGGTACCAGAGGAGCGGGTTGAAGGTGGCGGCGGTGAGGATGACCTGGGGGAAGCTGGTGGCAGCGGTGAGGGCACCCTCGAAGCGGATGCCTCGGCCGGCGTTGGAGACCCCGTGGAGTGACTCCGACCACCACTGGAAGGCGGGGATGCCCAGACGGGTAACGCCGGCGGCGGCGTTCCCCAGCTGGGAGATCTTCTCCGGCAGGGTCAGCCGCGAGACGAGATCCTCCACCCGCTTCTCTATGGGAAGCGTCCTCCTGCAGAAGCCGTAGCTCCTCGTCGCCGGGTCGGAAGCGTCGCAGGCGTACGGGGCAGCCCCTGCCCTCGCCGGGGGCGCTGCCAGTCCCGCCATCGTCAACAATGCCAGGAAGAAGAAGACACGGTGGGCTGAGAATCCCTCCATGGCCTCCTGTCTCGTCCCCTATCCCCTTCCTCCCTCGGCAGAAGCTGCTCCTCTGCGGACAGCGATGAGAGAAAGAGAAGCGGCGATACATAAATATATAGAGAGAGAGCGAGAGAGAGAGTGAATGAGTAAGAGAGAGAGAGAGAGAGAGAGAGCTCCAACTTTTCCATTAAGCGTAGATTCGGTCGGGTTTAAAATGGGAGAAGCGGAGGGCCGGGTTGGGGACCCGGGAAGAAACTCGGACCTTGGAACCGATCGGTGCCGGGTTGACTCGGTCAGGGGTTAATGGGCCGCATAGTAGAGGTCCAATAGGGGACTGGGCCTGTTGACGTGGTCGCTATCGCCGTCGGCCTCAACCACGACAAGATGAGACAACTAATGCGGACAAAAACTCTGTCGGTAGGCCCCATGTGATAATGTCCGGCCCGAGAAAGGAGTGGTGTCAGTCTTATCGGTTTCCGCATGTGATTGGTCCGGATGGGCCCCACAGAGAAAACTGCGAGCGCACGGCCCAGTCACCCTGCAATCCGGATTTATAATATAGAACAGAAATTTAGAATTATTATATTCTTTTACAGATATCTGCTTGACACGCGAAAGCGTCAGATTAGTCAACCTCGTGAAGGTTTTGACTGCGGGGCCCAGCCGCCCCCCCTCCACCGGGGAGCCGGTGAACTGACAACTCTCTCTCTCTCTCTCTCAAGATAGAAAAGTAGAAACGCGCGATGTGGGGGATGTGGATCTTGAACAAGAACCAACCATCTGCCGCTCACATGGCCGTAGAAAACGCCATAAAACGGGCGGGCGCCCCGCATTTATCTCTTATTAAGAACCATTTTACGTTCAGTCTTGCTGTTTCAGTTACTCGCTTAGGTCCATAGAAGGCCCCGAAGACTTTTACTTTGCGGGACAATGCATTTTGAAGTTGAAGGCGTAGCTTGCTTACCTGATCGTCTGATCCTGTCGCCCCGGCTTGGGTTGGTCGGGGGACCCCGCCGCTCCCGGTCTGGAGCTTCTCCTTTCTCCCCCTCTTCTCCCACTTCTCCTTCCTTCCATCCCTTCTCCGTCGGCTTGCCTTCGCCTTAGCCGTAGCCGCAGCCGCCTCTCGCCATCCCTGTAGCCCGCCGCCGTTCCGCCTTGCACTCACCGCTGCCGTCGGCCACCATCACTTGCCCTTTCCGCCGCCCTACCTTCGCCCTCCACTACCATTGTCGCCAACCCTCCTCCCCTCTGTCCTTTATCCGCCGCCACTGTCGCCGTTGTTCGCAGCTGCCGCTAGCCACCACCCACCGTCGCCGTCGCCAACCCTCATCCTCTCTCTCGCCGCAGCCGGTCGATTTGCCCCTAACTCTCTACCTCCGGCTGGGGTATTTATTGAGCCGGATCGTGAGCCGTGGCTTCCTGGCCCAAACGGCCCACCTCCTTCGAACTGCACCAATCCGCCTCATTGGGTCCGAACCCAGTTGACCAGTCCGATCAGACCCGACCTGATCCACCTGGTTCGAACTAGTTTGCCCCCCTGATTCGAGCCACCCGTTTGAACCATTCCGTCTCTGACTCGAGCTACCCGGTTTGAACCACTCCGCTTCCTGATTCGAGCCACTTGGTTCAAGCCACTCTAAACCACCTTGTCTGCTTCAGCTGGCCTTTGCTTGGGTTGAGCCACTTCTATGATCGACCTGGTCCATGCCAAGTCACCCGGCCGGTCAACATAATTGGTTAACGATCGGGCCCTTCATCCAATAGAATTAAAGGCTCTAGTATATCTTCTCCACTCTCTCCACTTTGTTTGTGCATTGAATATATTTTCTTGCTACGGTTGCTTGAGAGACCATAGGATAACTTTAACCTTGTGATAGGATATTAGCTGATTTATTAAATTATGGGTATCCTATTCAACTGTTTATTTAACCTGTACAAATCATTCATTTTATCATTATGGGGATGTCTTGATCTTCATAAAGACTCCTTACTTTCCTCCATAAATCTATTGTCAAATTCTGCTATGGTTTATTAGCTTCAGTTGTCATCCACCTTACATCATTTGGTATTAGAGCCAAGTTTTAGGATACTAACACCAATGCCATGCATACTAGATCTGGCATAACTTACTCTATAGAGGGAGATTAATCTTATTCCCAATTAGAAGATGACATCCTACCTTGGGTTTAAATCTTAGTAGAGCAAATAGTTAATATAAATGAGAGGATTGGAAAATTAGAACTAAATGAGAATCCTGTAGATCTTTATAGAGTCTAGCCTCCCATTTGAGAAAATCATCCTAAGCATAACTAATATAATGAAAAGATAGAAGTGCTTATATTTGATGGGGCCAAAATCGTGAGGATTACTTAGATTGGGAAGCCACCATAGATAGCTATTTTGGTTTGTTCCACATGTGTGAGGTTAGAAAATTTTGATTCACAGACCTAAAATTATCAAGATCCGTCAAAACCTATTTGAAGAATATTGATTGCTTTATTGAACTCTGTGGTCAAGATCCCATAAGAACATGGGAAGAAATGAAGGTTAAGCTTAGAGAGAAATACTTGCCCATTAACTAAAAGACCAAGATAGATCAATAGAATAGAATCACTCATGTAGCACAATTTGATGATTTCTTGCTCATCTGTGGAAAAAATAAAGATCCTAGAGTCACTCTTTCTCACTTTAAGACTGGGCTACATGAAGATTTAAAGAAAGAATTATGTGTTAGAAATGTGTATACTCTAGAAGAAGACTATCAATTAATGCTTGATTTAGATAAATTTTTATAAACCTCCACCTCAAGCCAGCCAACTTCCATTTATTACCTCATCTCGACCAGATCAAGGAAGCTCATGACCCTTAACCTTGAGGAATATAGAGACAAGTGAATTAGACAAAAGTAAACATGTGATAGCAATACCCCATGGGAATGTCCTTCGCCATCTAGTTCATTCACGAGTTCATTTGTCTCAATTTCACTTGATCCATGGGAGGGTTGCTGGCCCTCGCTACTTATGAGAGCTGAGGCCCAACATCACATCAATTGTCATAGCTGGCCATGTCGGCAACATCTTTGTAGTAGAGCTCAGCACTATACAAGTCTTTGGGTAAATCAATACTTTGTGTGCTACCATATCCATAGTGTGTTGTTCTTGTAGTATGACAAGCATTTTAAGAGCCAAAGGTGTCGACAAATTCATAACCTCAATGGTGGTCATCTTTGACTATAATCAAAGGAAGAGTTGCTGCCTTAGTAGATCTTCATCATCACCAACAAGTGAATGCTCAGAAGGCAAGATTTTTGTCATCAAAAACTTAGTCAAGATAAAAATTCCAAAATTTATCTTGAAGGAGAGTGTTGAAAATTTTAGGTTGTAAGAAAATTATGTAATTAGTTGAAGGTTTTTTTGCAAAAGTTGTGTATTGTTTACTCCCTATATAATGAGGGTTAGAGTTGAATGAATCTTGAGGTTGTCTCTACCATTCTCCCCTTTGTCCTTCATGATGAAGGTTTTTTTTCATTTCCAACACATCCTTATGCCAAAACCTCCAATTCAAAATGACAAAGGGGAAGAGGAGTTCTAGAGGAAATAGTCCCATCCACATGCTGCCAACCCCAACATGTGAAGAGGGGATATCCTTCTTGTTGGGTAAATCGTTCATCCCTTTCATTTAATTTGTAAAGAGAGACTCATGCATTCTGAAAGCCTGAAATCTACAAGGAAGAGAAGGAAACTTATATGATTGAGGCCACCAAGAGAAGTGTATGATCTAGAAGAGGATTTACGGAAAGCTACTGATAAGTCTTCATTATCATGAGTTAATAATGATTAAATAATATAGTTTTAGCCCTAACTCATGATAAATAGACTTATATTTGTGTTAAAGTGTGAAAAGTGGTTTTTAATTGATTAACGTGAATTTTTGGGTAATTATGTAATTTTATACAATTTTTACAGTCTTACTTTTGAGATAAATGAAAAACAAGAAATAAAAATAAAAATATTGCAAAATGAGGGGACCCGCCGGCCAGCCGGACCCGCAAGCGGGTCGGAAGCGCAGTCGGGGAGTAGTCGTGAGCAGGGGCTCGAGCGGCTTGGCTTGGACCGATAGGGGCACGTGTGCGCCACTCCCCTTCCACGTCACCGGTGGCCAGCCGGCTGTGGGGCAAGGAGTGGTCGTACACGCGAGAGAAGGAACTTTGCTTAAAAATATAACATTACTATATATTCACCCAAAAAATCAGTGCACAACTGATGTGGGACTAAACCCACGTCACACCTTCCTCAGAAGGGGCGGACAACCGGGGCGGGTTTGAATCCTCCCAGAGTCAAAATTCATATATTTTTATCTGATTATCGCGACTTTCTTACAGATCGCCGGTGAAGTATTAAGCAACAAGAATCGCTGGATCATCGGCGAAAATCTCGTCAACGCGATTCGAAGAGCATTGCTACTAAAATTTTTGAACGATTCGTGATAAAAGGATCGCGAATCCATCGAGTAAATCATCTCCGATTGATCGACGAACAAGCCGTCGTCGGGAAGAGGGCGATCCACTGGGAGACGAGTCGCCACCTCCTGAGAGCATACCAGATGCAATGAAGAGCCTCCTCTTGCTGCGCGGACCTGAGGATGAAGCTCCTTGACACGCGCCGCACCTCTATCTAGCTCCTCTCCGTCGGGTGACAGTCGCCGGAGAGCCGCAAAGTCGCCGTTTTTCCGTTCCGCTGGGTGACAGCCGCCGGAGATGACTTGACGACCCATTTCATTAATCTCTAGACTTCGCAAGAAGATCTAGAGATTGCCCACGTCGTCTTTGTCCAAGGAGAGCCTTCGAGGCTGTGGACACTACACGACGATCCTCCCGAACACTCAGGATTCCAGTGCATCGCCGACACATCGCCGTCGCGACGCCGGAACTCTGTTTTCCTACTTTCAATTTAATTTACGCTTCATTTAATGATTCTTTGTGTGATTTTAATTTACCAAACTATACTTCGTTCAATTAC